GAAGGACCTTTTTCTAAACAATGGACATCTCAAATTCAGGAAAGCTTCCCTAAATTCCGCTGAAATGCCTGAATGCAAAACGGTGCTCGATCGCTCCCATTCGTTGCCGGAAGGCGGGTTGAATGAGAAGTCCCTGGATCACCAGTTTTCACCATCTTCTTTATTTACCCACGGTCACACGGACGTTTTTCATCCTTCCCCAAGTTCTCCCACTATAATTCAAAAGCGACTTTCGCAACTAACTCCTCATCTGCCAGAAGAAGCAAGCCAGCATCCTCATTCAGACATTTCAGAACTCTGCGGCAACGAATCCCTGCTTGTATATTTTTCTAAGGTCTGGGAAGAGGACCGTTTTCTGGTTTTTTTATTTCTCGCCAATAAAAGCCCTTCCGTTCTGAAAGACGTAAGTCTGGAATTCCAGCACTCCGAACATTTTAAGGTAACCATTTCAGCACCATTTCTGCTGTCGTACGGGCTTGGTGGTGATCCAACAAAGCATCTTTAACCCGTTTTTTTTTCTTCTTCTTTTATATTGAAGATGGTGGAAAGTCTTAACTGCCAACTTGCTGTGATAGAAAGTAAAAATATAGAAAACTTCCAGATATATGTAGAGATGGAGAAACCCTGTTCTTCAGGAAAAATCTTTGGTTGCATCAGTTATCCATTAGAATCGAATGTCCATCTCAGATTTTCTATCTCTTTAGAGCTGCTGGATTTTATTAGGTAATTATATAAAATAATTTTCTTAATACATATGAAATGTAAACTAGAGTTAATTAAATTTAGTTACTTGGTAAGCTTCTCTCCCACAGTTTCTCTGTTTCTCCTCATCCTCTCCTCCTTGTCCTAGGTCAGGGGTGTCAAACTCAATTTCATTGAGGGCCGCATCAGCATTGCAGTTGCCCTGGGGGGGGCGGGTGGGTGTGGCCAGGGTGGGTGCGGCCTACTGGGGGGCGTGGATGGAGTGGGTGTGGCCTACTGGGAGGGCGTGACCAGTTCTACATCATTCGCGTCAAGGGTGCCTATGGGGGGCCTGGGCAGGAGTGGGACAGATCTGAGGGTCTCTGGCAGAAGGGGGTGGGACCGGGGCAAGTGCCAAGGCATGGTCCACCAGGGCAAGTGCCAAGATGGCCACCACACAATTGTACATTGGCTCCCGGCCGGCCTGGGCCAGGGCCAAGGCAGCGGGGGCCGTTCCCTCACTGTTTCCAGGATGGCTTCGCGGGCCACATGAAACCACTTCGCGGGCCGCATCCGGCCCCTGGGCCTTGTGTTTGACATGTCTGTCAAACCGAATATTTCCAAGATCGGTAGATAAAGAGGGATCTACCAAGATTGAACAGGCAACTTGTAACCGGCACATCTATATATTTTGGCTACTTCAATAGCAAAGCATACTTGTAGTGTAGTGGGGGGATTTCAGTCTGAGCCCATCTTAATGATTATTCCAATATCTGTTTTTCATGAAATCTTTCTTAGCTTGGCTGTCTTGGCTGCATGCCCTTTGAAAATCCACCCCAATGGATGGAAAGGCTGTCTTTCACGAAAAGTTTTAAAAATGCACAGTAGATTAATTAAACGAAGTAGAATTGTTATCGTTGCCCATTCCTTTAGACTTATTTTTTTTTCTTCATTTCTATCGGCAGACCAATGAAGATGAGCACGGATGAATATGGAAAACTGTGGCTCTCCATTTCAAATGAAGTCAAACAAAATCTAATGGTGGCACCATCTCAAGGTACCCTGTCCATGATGCTAGACATCCTTCAGCAAAAATTGAAGCTACATATTGTTGATATCATAGGTACGTAACT